GGCTCCAACATGATCAAACACGTGGTGCGTTGGGGACTCTAGATGGAGTGGCTACTGCTGTTGAAGGTCCCAGCTCACCTGAGCGCAGTGTGAGAAGATACATATAAGCTTGGTCAACTACATGTGTTGGTGACAATATGAAAATAATCGGGAAATTCCTACTGTTTTCTGAACACTTCTACCATAATTCGTGACACTAATTATAGTTTCTAAAATTAGCTTTGGAAACTCCCGAGCTCAGCTGCTGAGGAAAGCGATTACATATATTCCCTCAACCTCGCGATAGCCTTCGTGACACCTACGTATGTAGAGGTTGAATTCAGTGCCCTTTTTTCTCAATATGATGTGACCTCGCCCTGACTTCACACTCCACGCGGACCTCAGCGATGAACAACTTCACCAAGCAAAAGCCATACTAGCATACCCTATTTCATTGGTGCACTGTATAGTGTATGGACCGTCGCGCTGGCCAAAGTCCTCTCCTATTGCTGCTGTTAACTCCAAATCAGGATGGCGTTTGCTCAACGACGAAATGCTACTGCCCTTCCTCGACGACGATGATGATGATGTTCTCGACCCTCGCGAGGAAGGAGTCCGACGAGAGACCGCCCCAGCGAGACTTCGTTTCAGCATGATAAAATTCCGACTGGTACACAATGGGTAATCGCGTGGGGACACCCTATAAACGAAGCTCCACGAAAGTTGTACAGAAGTTCTTCTGACTTCAACATTTGATAAGCTTGGGTACCCCCAAGGCCACAGAGCCAATCTAGGGCTAGTGGGACGAAGGCAGCGAGTGATACAAAGCAATTTGATCATAGAACCGCAAAAGAGAACTAATTCGACGTGTAGCCGTTGTAACGCCTTAGCTAGTCTTCGACGGAGAAGGGCGAGTAATCATTTGGTGCACTCAAAAAGTAAGACTAATGAGATCAGGTAGCAAGCAATACGACCATAGAACTGCGAAAGAGAACTAAATCGACGCCTCAGCGGGCGTTAAGTGATAATTTCCCCCAACACAGTAATATCCGTTTGCATAGGAAAAGAAACATCAACTTGGAAGTGACTCAATGACCATCTGACAGTATCTCGGCTATAGCTCGAGCAGTGTCGTGTACAGGTAAGCCAACCACGTTAGAATAACAACCCTCGACCTTGCATGCGAGGAGGCCGCCGATACCCTGAGTGCGATGCGTATCAAGTGGAGAAACATGTGAAAAAACATGTGCGTTATTTTAATAAGAATCGATCTGAAACTACATCGCATGAAGAATGTGAACATTGGTATGAACATGTGATGTGATAAAAGTAACCTTTCAAGACTATGATAGCGACAAGTTGTTCACTATCATTAATCCCGGAATAGAAAACACACATTTCCCACATTTGCATGTCAAATTGGCACACACTGTAGTACGAGTACAGTGGAGTTTCACCCTAGTGAAAAATATATTTCACGACTACTGCATATCACCGGGAATATCGCGTTTTTCACAGAGTGTTACGCCACTTCACGTAAAACGGGTGAAGCAAACTCCAGTGTGTTCGATTTTGATAGTCAGAAGCGAAAAAAATGTAGTAACTTCGCTAATTCGATAATTAGGAATCTTCGACTTCCAAAATGAAACACACGGGAGTTTCACGACCCGTTTTACGTGAAGTGGCGTATTACTCCATGTGAAAAACGCGACACGAAGTGAAGTGAAAATACCTCGCGAACCACACCGGACAAATCACGTGTTTTACGCGTTACTCGCGTTAAGTGGAACGTGAAAAAATGTTATTCGCTAGTGTTCTCATATCACGAGCCACGGGTGACCGATTTTTGTGATAGTGTCCAAAACAGACAGAGAAAACCGAAATGACTTGACGATAGAGAATTTTGTGTAGATTCAGAATCTGTTTTACTACTGACTATGATAATTTCACCCGGGTGAAACTCCACTGTAGTAATAAAGGACCTACCTGTATACCGTAGCTACCAGCCTTTCCCATAGGCTCCTCGGTCTCTATATAGGCTTGCAGGTCCTCATCAGTGATGTTCGCTGCAAAGGTAACTACAATAGAGAAGTGACGGAGGAGTGGTACGCAATTCTTCTCACCTTTCGTAGTGGTAGTGAACTGACGTTTCTTGGTAGTCCCATCCGACCATTTACACACAATACAGACTCCTACCAACATAGTCAAAGCCCAACAGCAAGAGTAACGCTTACCAGTGCTAACCTCATGGGTCTTTCCTCGTAGAGCCTTCAGCATTTCCAAAGCATGAGCGTGGTCATCAGGCTTCTCCAGAATATGTCCGTTCGAAGACACCTATTCCGACCTACCAGCCTACCCGTGATAAACCCATCTTACCACAACAGTGTCAGCGGATAAAACCATCGTGAAACGGCCGGATGTTGGCAGCTCTAGACGTGATATGACCTACCGTAGAGAAGCTAAGCGACCTGTGTTCGCTCGTAGAAACCGGCTTCGTTAACAGTAAATACTGGAGTTTCACCACCCTAGTGATATGAAAAACACTAGTAAAAAACATATTCCGCGACTACTACATACGACGAATATCGCGCTTTCACCGATTATTACGCCACTTCGCGTAAAAGGGGTGAACCTCCACTGTTGCACTGCTGACACCTCTCAAGAGGTAGTAGTCCGATATACTCAGAGGCTATAAGAAAAGTTCCATAAGGAAAAATGCATTTTGTAGAAGTTGTCATGGCGCAAGCCTTTCCCATCTGTACTGTCTATACAACGGAATGATTATTCGGACGATTATGTCTGCTATAAACAGCCGTAATAATATGACGTAGCGAATTGAAACTGTTGACTCACCGAGTCGTCCCCATTAACACGCTTCCAATGTTGGACCAGAGCATGAAGTCTTACAATATTCTTATGTCCAACCAACTTTGGGAAAGGGGGGCAGCTACAAGGTGTAGTGCATCAGCAATTTCTGCCAGCCACACTACTTTTGCGTTTGACTGGTTTAATTATCATTTTTCACATAATATCGTTTACTCCAACGTCACAAGTGCACTATTCTCCTCAACGACTAGAACAGAGCGGGGTAAATAGGAAAAAGTAGCTTATTTATGGATAAGTTGATAGCAATACATTTGCTACGAGCCAAGACTATTACTGATGGAATTTCAACCGTTATATGAAAAATACATTTCACAATTCACTTCGCGAATAACAATTGCGTTATCGGTGGCGGAAATTTACACGTCCCATAATTTACAGGGAGTATCACGACGCCACTTCACGTAAAACGGGTAAAACTCCAATGATTGTGTATTGGAACAGTGGAGTTTCAACCGTGATATGAACAACACTAGTGGAAAATATATTTCACGACTACTGCATATCACCGCGAATAAAATCGCGTTTTTCACACTTCACGTAAAACGGGTCATGAAACTCCAACGGTTATGTATTAGGACAACGCGATATTCGCGGTGATATTCAGTTGTCGTCAAATATACTTTTAACTAGTGTTTTTCATATCACTAGGGTGGTGAAACTCCAATGATTGTATATTAGGACAGTTGACAAGCTTACTTCTTTACACTTCTCAGTGGCAGTTTGCAACACATACTCAGTCGGTTTCAGTGCCCTATATAGAAATTATACTCTTCTCGCCGGCCTCTAAGAGCCTACCTCTTATCGAGATCCTCAGGAAAGGTCGAACCCATTACTTCGATGTTCAGACGACCACCACTGACTGTCTTGAGGAGCTCCAGTCGGCGTGGGGACTTCGATGCTAATACGAAACGATTCCAGTTGAGAGTGTCTACTAGTCTTAGTAGTGATAGAGCCGACATAAAGACAAAACAATATAAACACTACACGGGTGTCAACTTGCGAATCTTCCAGGAACCTATAATTTTCCCTTTTCTTCGATCAGTTTCCCATGTAAATGTCATCACATTAGTAACATTTTCCCCAGTGCTACCAAACTCCATGAGATGTTATTTCCCTATATGGGACCCTGGCGCGAGATTTTCATATGGTGGTATATAACAAAAACCTGACAATTCAGAATGTATATGTTTTTCACTACTGATATTGTCATCACAAGGATGATGATGTAAACGAGTATTATTATATTTATTATACTACTATATCATTACTAGATTATTTTACTACCAGTATTCAGATATCGACTATCATCAGTGAAGTTCTTATATGATACATGTTTACGTGTAGAGCACAGCGTGCAGAGCAAGTGTAAGAGAATTCAAGCGAAAAATCAATTGCTTGGGGAAGCACGACACC